TTTATATCCATCTCTTTTATCCTCATACGGATATACGGGAAATTACTTTCCAATAAGGGCACGATGAACGAAGACGGGATGTTATACTTATCCTACTATCAAACGAAAACGAAGGTTATCTATACCCTACTATCCCCAACAACGGGAGGTTATCTATACCTTGTTATCCCCAACAACGGGAGGTTATCTATACCTTGTTATCCCCAGCAGACGGAGGGTTATATATTCTTCAACAAATCGGGATTTATTTTCCTTGGCCAGCAGTTGTTATACAAGGATATCCAGACACTTCCAGCAGTGTCATATCATACATACATCACTTACATCATACCATAACATATATGTCTATAGTACATTACCTAAGTGCATCATGTCATACATGCATACATAAAGCATAAACTAATGTTGTTATACAGAATGCTACCTTGTTTTCAGGTTAATTATCCAACAAACAATCTTATGATCTTTGGGACTGCTTTATTGTAACCTCAGGGTTACTTTATCCTCCTGATGAGCTTCTTATTACTTTGGGACTGCTTTATTGTAACCTCAGGGTTATTTTATCCTCCTGATAGCCTCTCATGACTTCAAGACTGCTTTAGAGCTACTGATTGCTCTATCCTCCTGAAATCATCCTATTACTTCAAGACTGCTTTAGAGCTATTTATTGCTCTATCCTCATGAGGTCATATTACTACTTCAAGACTGCTTTAGAGCTATTCATTGCTCTATCCTCCTGAAGCCATCTAATTATTTCAAGACTGCTTTAGAGTTATCCATTGCTCTATCCTCCTGAAATTACATTATTATTTCAAGACTGCTTTAGAGCTATCCATTGCTCTATCCTCCTGAAATCATTACTTCAAGACTGCTTTAGAGCTATTGATTGCTCTATCCTCCTGAAGACATATCACATTATTATTTCAAGACTGCTTTAGAGCTGTTGATTGCCCTATCCTACTGAAGCCATTCTATTACTTCAAGACTGCTTTAGAGCTATTGATTGCTCTATCCTCCTGAAGCCATTATTACTTCAAGACTGCTTTAGAGCTATTGATTGCTCTATCCTCCTGAGGTCAGATTTATCACTTCAAGACTGCTTTAGGGTTATCATTATTGATTGCTCTATCCTCATGAAGACATGCTGTTACATCAGTATTACTCCAGACTCCTGACAGTTCTCATTATACTACTGAAGAACTTTCCCCTAGTGGCATCTTTAAGCCCACTCAATCATGTTCAACCAACCATCAATATCACTCCATGCACTGGTGAGTGCAAATTTTTGGGCTTTTGTGTTCAATCCCCTTCAACCTTCCAGGTTACGACTGGCAAATATACCAATCTAACCCCTCAGGTTTCAGAAAATTGAACAGGGGCAGCTGTTGCACCCCAAAATTTGCCCTCACAATACAAGACTTTGTGTTCCAAGAAGGTTCACAAGGTTCACAAAATTCACAATTGGTCAGAAGAGTTGACAATTCCCTCAGACAATGCACCTCCTAATCAGTGCATCCAAAACTAGGGTTTTGACTTTAATCAGGCTAAATGGACTTCCAATACCTCAAGTGAGTTTCATAACATCTTATATGTGTATAAGAACCCCCATGTCAAATTTCAAAACAATTCAAAAGTGAGCTTAAGTACCTAAGAGCCCATGGATAACCATGGATGAAAAGGATGCTAATACCTTCCCTTTTCATAACCTACCCCCCGGACCCAAAATATTCTCTAAGGTCTTTCCTGTTCTTTTATAACCTTTCCTTATGGATAAAATAAAAGTCGGTGGCGACTCTTGCTATCCGCAACATTGTTTAAAGTCAGTTCACCGGGTTACAGATGCACCTAGAATGATAATGGAATCTAGGGGTCAAAATTTAGGGTATGACCGTAAGATAAAATTATAATTCAAGAGAGAGATAGAGAGGTTATTTTGTTATTCTTGTATATTTGTAATCTTGTTTCTAAGAGAAATGAAAGAATAGCAGTTTATAACCAATCTTTGTTATTCCTTGTTGTTTTACCTTGTTTTCTTTGTTAACCATAACCCTTGTGTGTTTCTTGATCATAAAGAAACCGTTTACACTTTATTTAAAGACATCTGATTCACAACAGCTACATTTTCTAGATTTCAGGAAATCAACCATCCATTCCTAGAATGGTTGCTACATTCTTGGAATGCTCGATTTAGATCCTAGGACTATAAATATATCAATATCATGATACAAAACGGACAATTAATAAGAAAGAGAAAATACAAAGAGACAACACTTTCTCATCTCTCGTGAGCTAGTTCTAAATACCCTAACAACCAAGAAGCCATGAATCAATCCATATTCATATATAATTTATGTTACAACCGGTTATTAAAATCTTTTTTCACAATCGATTTTCCTTTTCTTAAAACAATTATGAATTAGTTATTAATCAATCAACCTGATTTAAAATTAATTATTAAAAGTTTGTTCAAGAATTTAGTTACTTTAATTAAAAATAATATTTTTTATTTTTAGGAAAAACATATATTTTTTTCCATTCTTAGGACAATAAATTAGTAATATTTATTTTTTCTAGCGAAATAATATTTTTTTTATTTAAAAAAGAAAAACATTACTTTTCAAAAATTAAAAAAAAAATAAAAAAATCTTATTTTTTTTATATTTTAAAAAAATATAAACTAACTTTTTCTTTCATGATTTTTATTTTTTCCGCGAAAACATTGTTTTTGATCAAAATAATAAAAATTCATATTTTTTGTTTTTTTTTCTTAGAAAAAAATGTTTTTTTGAAATTTTATTTTTATAAAAAACTAATTTTTTTTTTAAAATTTTCCAAAAGTAGACTAATTTTTTTTTTATATTTTTAATATGGATGTCGAAAATATAGAATTGATTAAAACCGCATTAATAATTAACCAATTTTTAATAATCAAGTTTAGATATGAATATGGATAATTTTAATAATTGGTTAATTCAAACACTTTTACCCTTATACACTATGGTTTGTCAATTATTTGTACATTTAGTTAGTACATTTTTATTTTAAATTTAATTTTGATATTAAAGTATCCTAGATATATCGTATCTTGAATTTTTTAATCTTTGTATCGTGTCCTATATACTAAATAAATATTTAAAAATAAGAAGATTGAGCTATATAAATAAATAAAAAGTATATAAAAATTAAAATTAGAAATTTACAATTTTGGTCGTGCTATTGTAAGAATACAAACTTCAATAAATCATTTTATTATAAAAGATATAATTTTAAAATTATTTAATTACAGTTTTGATCCGGACTCAATATCCTATTTTAAAAATAATCAATTTTAATTTTTATTAAACTTTTTTGCACTTATAATTAACAATTTATCCATTTTTAAATGTGATGTCACTCATGAAACTTCATTAATCGCCGTATAAAAACATTTTGTAGAATATTATAAATAGAAAATATCATTTAAAAAATTAATATTTCATTGATTTGTAGTGTAAAACATGAGAGAGAGGGCAAAACTATTTTATTTTAAAATAGATAAACTAACTTTGTGAATAAATAAAATAGGAGGACAAAAAGTGTAATTTAGCCTTTATAATAAATTAAATGAATATACAACTAATATATATAACTTTTTAGTACTTGAATTTTATTATTTTAAGTTATTTTTTTCTTTTTTGTATCCTGAATTTTATTATAACTTTTTAGTACTTTAATTTTGTGCATTTATCTTTTTATATTTCTTGTATCATATCCTGAATTTTAAATTTTTTGGCATCTTTGTAACGTGTATTAAATACTAATTAACTATTCAAAAATAAGAAGATCAGATTAAATAAATAAATAAAAATAACATATATATATATATATATATATATATATATATATATATATATATATATATATATATATATATATATATATATATATATATATATATATATATATATATATATATATATATATATATATATATATATATATATATATATATATATATATATATATATATATATATATATATATATATAATAAAAACTTACAATACCTTTTAAATAATTGTTACTATATTTTAAAAATGCATATTTATCGCAAAAACAATTTAAATTCAACCCTTTTTTTATATTTTATTTTATTTTTTATCAAGATTACACCATCTCATATTAAAAAGTATAATTTAAAATGGTTATCATTTCAAAATAAATAAAACAAAAAGATAAATATAAAAGATGATATAACTAAAAAAACATTTTTTGCAAACAAAAAGAATTGATACAATTAAAATATACTTTAAAACAATTTTTTGTTGACTCATTGAAAAAAGAATAGATTCAACCAAATAAATAAAATCTGAATTAAGTTTAACGTTAAAAAAAATTAATATATTTTAATATAAATAAAATGACTTTTTCTTTTTGTTCGAATTTTAAAATACATGTAAATTGTAAAAATTCAAATATAAAGGAAATAAAAGTTGTCATATACAACGCCTATAAAAATCTAAATGGATTTAAATAAAAATTAAAAATCAATTTAAAAACAAAACAAAAAACAATCACACAAAAACCAAATACTTTTTTATATGCTAGAATGGATGATGTATTTTGAAACAATTCTAAACAAATGAAAATTTATATTGATTTTTCAATATCCTTATAAATCAAATCTTATTAAATTCATATTTTATTAAATTGAGTCAAATTGATTTTTTTTAATTTGTTTGGATCCCTATGCATTTAACCAATAAAACATACAATTTAGTTTTATATATTTAATTTTAATTTGTAAAAAGAAATTATAGACTTTACCTAAACAATGTGCGACACTCGGAAATATAAACTTCATCCATTTATCGTTATCACACCTATTTCAGTTCCTTTTATCTGCAATTTCTGTTTTTAAGCTTAAATTTGTTGTTAGGACAGAAAAAAATGAGAAGGTTCATGAACTTCATGCTATTAGTGCAGAGAAAAACAAGAAAAAGACGAAGAGGAGAAAGACGCATGGAGAAGAAGAAGAGAAAGAGAAAGACGATGACACCAACACCACAAAAACCTTATGTGCCTCAAGAAATGATAACTGAAATTCTTCTAAGCTTACCGGTGAAGTCTCTTATTCGTTTCAAATGCGTTTCTAAACAGTGGTTTTCTCTTATCTCTGATCCCAATTTTGCCGAAAATCATTTTCAACATACACCACACACTCGTAGAATTGAATTCATATCAAATGATTTACAACAAACAACATCTATAGATTTCGAAGAACGTCTTGACTTAGAGAATGGTTCTGTTAAACGGTGCAATTTTTTGGATCCCCAAGCTGAATCTCATATTCAAATTGTAAGTTCCTGTAGAGGCTTATTATTTTTCCATCATTCTTTGAGCTTCTGCATATTGAATCCATGCACTAAAGTTCACAGGCAAATACCTTTAGCTCCGGGTGAATTTGAAACGAAGTTAGAGTTATGTTATTTCTATTATCTATATGGTTTTGGATATGATCACTTAAGAGATGATTACTTAGTGGTTTCGATGTCGTTTACTCCAGCCGAGGAAGATCTTTCACGTTTGGAATATTTCTCGTTGAAAGATAACAAGTGGAAGGAAATTGAGAATACTTTCTTCCATTTTACGAGCGACAAGATTGAGCCAAGAGTAGGATCACTATATAATGAGGCTATTCATTGGTTGGCTTTACATTCGGATTCATTGATGGAAGTTATTGTTGCATTTCATTTAACAGAAAGGAAACTTTTCGAGATGCCTTATCCAAATGGTGTAGAGCATAAGTCTGATCATTGTGAGTTGTGGATATATGGAGAATTTCTTAGCTTATGGGCTACGGATTGTGAAAATAGTAGAATTGAAATATGGTTGATGAAAGAATACAATGTGCATTCGTCTTGGATTAAGGCTATTATTCTCCCTATGGAAATTCTAACTCCTCATCAATTTTCCCCAATATGCTCTACAAAAAATGGGAATATCATTGGAACAGATGGTGAGAATATATTGTTGAGGTATAACGACATAGGAGAGCTTATAGAGGGTTCCTCGTACAGTCACATTCCAGATAGTGCAGTTTCACGTGGATCGCTATCGATAGTGTATACAGAATCTTTACTTTCACTCCCTGGTGGCGACATGCAAGCTTATGAAGATGATTCTTCAGACTAGAATAATCAGGTGTTGAAATATTCTCCTTCCCCATTTTATTATGATTTATTGGGCTGAAACAAAAAACAAGGTCTGGTTTTATATTTACTGGCAATGTTGATAGCTTTGTTTGTTATTCACTGTTATTTATGCATGTGTAAATGTAATTGCTTGAAATTGTTTTATGTTGTAATTTATTTTATAAGTTTATGCATGTGTAAATATTTATGTTGTAATTTATGTTACGAGTTTATGCATGTGTAAATGTTTATGTTATAAATTGTAATTTATTTTATTGTTGATCAAGATTGCCAAATCTTCTAATAATGTTATCTGTGCTACTTGCTTTAATTTCACCTAAAGTTAGATCATGCATGAGTTCAGCTCTATATTTTGTTTCTCTGTTGATATTTATTCTAAGATCATATAATATAATAGCAGTGCTTTTTATAAACATGTTGTTGTTAACTCTATTTCTGAAGTCATATACAGATTTATGATTACTTATTTTTCCTCTTCTTCGTTGTTTAATTGTTTCTTAAGCAGATTTGGTTGGTTGTGCCTATTTGGCCTTTATTTTCACCTTAATTATTTGTGTTGCATTTTTTTTCAGTTGCAGATACTTGCAGATCCTATAGGAATTTGAGTCACATTGGACGAGGTTGAAAACCTTCGAGACATTTCATTGTCATACTGATTAGTAAAGAAAAATTTGGCAATCCTACTCAGAAGCCTTAGAACAAGTTTCCATCCATTTGTGACTGATTTTTTTTTATTTCATTTTGAGATTGAACCAACCTTTTTTTTTTGGATGTACTATTTATTGCGTGTTGATTTTTATTTTTTTTTGTACTTTTTGTTATGATGCTTTCAGACACTTCTTTTATTTATTATATTATATTACTATTTGTCTTTAAGAAAAATTATCTTTTTTCTAAATATTTAGGTTGATATGAGACAAACAGGCCTTGTGAAATGGTTAGAAGTTTTGTTCTATAAAAATAACTATAAATCAGAATTTTAGTAAAAGATGTAATGAACTCAAATATCTTATAGATTATCTTATAGATTGCGTAAAATCCAAATTAGATTAGGTACACATACATAAATACTTTTGGCCACATAACATGAGGAAAGTTCATTATTATATTGAATTATTTCAAAACTAATTTTGAAGAATTTGCAAAAATCTCACTATGTTTGGGAAAAACATAGTGCATTTAGCATCACAAGAAAATCCTCTCTCAGCATCATATTGTTGCGACTGAAAAATCAAGTGGTAAAAAAAAACGGTTACTACGTGATAATTATATCGTTAAATATTTTTAATAATTAAATAATAAAACTCAGATTTTTAGATGGTAGTACATTGTAAAATTCAGAAAAAAAATGTTGCATCATTTCAAACACATCACAACATATATTTTTAAATTAAAAAAAAGCGTTAGGGTTTTCACACGAAGAGATTAAAATTTTAAGAAAAATAAAGTTGTGACAAAAAAAAATTATAAGAAAATTTGACTGACTGAATTGATGGTTGGACAAGTCTTATGGTTGTTCTAACATCTCAGTTTTATCGATGTGTAAATCATGTCGCAAAACAACGGTTACTTTTTATTTGCGACGTGATTTACAAGACGATAACTTGACTATAATCATGTGTCAACACCTTCCCCTCACGTACATAATCAATTTTTCCTCACTCTTCATTTCATCCTTAGCTTTCCTTTCTCTCTTCCAACCTCAAACTTCACTCCTCTCTTTCAACCTCAAGATTTCATACATTTTCTTACCTTCATCCAATTAATTTAAGGTATTAAATTATTTATTTTATTTTTCATTTATTTGATTTTTAATTTAATTGATTTTTTTTTGTTTTATTATTAATTTTATTTTTATTTTTCGTTTTTAATTTAGGATATTAAAATATTCATTCAAGAAGTTGCATCTCGAAAAAATTATGTTTTTATTTAATTTTTTTTTACAATTCATATATAAATATTATTGGACTGTTGTTGTTTTTTTAGATTTGTTTTTTTTTTTACAAACTAAATGGTATGAAATAGTAAATTTTTTAAATATAATAATATAAATTTTGGTAAGTATTGTATATTAAATAAATAAATATATATTTTTTAGATAATAATTATATATTAAGTACATTTTTTTATTTAAATATTTTAATTAAGTATTATAAATTAAGTAAGTAAATATATTTATATAAGTAACTATATATAAGTTTTAGATAAGTAATTAATAAAATTTGAGGCTGGCTAACAACGCCAGGAAATGTATGAGAACTCGCCTGTCCTGCTTATGTAACCTATTCGATTCACTCTCCTGGTCCGACAGCAAAACAAAGTGAACTTCCACGGGATCTGCCATCGAAAGGAAATGGCCTGGACATTGCAGGAAATACATATATATAGGCTGCAGATGGCCCAGAATATGCGATTGCGATAAGTATATATTTTATAAATAAGTAAATAAATAAAATTTGAGAAAGTATGTATTTTTAAGTAAATATTATTAAGTTAGTAAAAATATTAAAAAATATTATATATATATATATATATATATATATATATATATATATATATATATATATATATATATATATATATATATATATATATATATATATATATATATATATATATATATATATATATATATATATATATATATAAGTAATATTTTTATTTAATTAAGTATATATATTAAACATGGTTATGAAATGTAGTATTTATTGTAAGTATATATAGTAAGTAATATTTTTATTTAAGTAAATACAATTTGACTAAAAATATTATGAAATGTAGTTATATTTAAAACAATGTGAAAAAATGTTATATTATTTCACATAGTTATTAAGTTTGTTAATATTTGTAGTTAATGTTTTACTAAAATTTCAAAATTGTTTGATATATTAAAATCACATTTTTAATTTAAATGACAATGATTGTACAAATGTGCAATATGAAATATTATTTGTACTATCGCAGTTTGATGTACGATAGACTGTATTCAGGAAGACGTCCACTTAAACCAAAATTTGAGGAATGAGTTAAAGGATTTATCACATGGACATTTGCTCAAGAATCTTGTCAAAGCGAAGGAGAAGTAAGATGTCATTGTCTTAAATGTGAATGTAGACCTATAGTTAGTCACCCAAAGGAATAAAAGGTCATTTGAACATAAGGAATTTCATTGAAAATTATTGGGTTTGGACATATAATGAAGAAGAACTGCCAAATAATGTATCAAAGGCAACTAATATGCATGCTTCAAGTAGTCAATCACATACGAAATATGATGATGAACAATTTAATATGGTTGATGATATGGTTGGAGATGATTTTGGGGTGAATGTGACATATGATGAATCTGGAGATTTTGATGGGGAAGAGTTGTCAAATGAGGAAGTGCAAAGATTTTATCAGTTGTTGAAAGAAATGAATACACCATTGTTTAAGGGATCGTGGGACTCAAATTTATCAATGTGTGCAAGATTATTGGTCGCCAAGTCAAATTGTAATGTTTCTGATCAGTATTTGGAATTCTTCACAAATATGATGTTGGACGCGACTCCTAAGAAAGACAACTTGCCTACAACTTTTCGGATGCAAAAAGGTTGGTGTCGAAGTTAGGTTTAGAAGTAATAAAGATTGATTGTTACATTAGTGGTTGCATGTTTTTTCGGACAATGATTTTGGTACTAATGATAAAGCGTTGGAGGAATGTAAGTTTTGTAAGAGTCCAAGATATAAAGTTTGCAGTAAAGCCATTAACCGTAAACAAAAACGTGTAGCAGTGAAGAAGTAGACATGGCTTCATACAAGCGTCAAGAAGTAGACATTTTTGTTGGCCATTTATTGAAACCCCTTACAACCTCCCTCTTTAGAAATGCATGACAAAACCACACATGTTTTTTACTATCCTAATTCCAGGACCGTCAAGTCTAAAAGCCGGAATCAATGTGTATTTACAATCTTTAATTGATTATTTGAAGATTTTGTGGATTAGAGAATGGACTTATGATATATCCTTTAAACAAAACATTAACTTGTGAGTTGCCTTGATATGGCTTATAAACGACTTTCCCGCGTATGGCATGTTGTCTAGTTAGGGTACACATGGAACAATGGGTTGTCCACATTGCATGGTATAAACCAAGGTGTTTACGTTAGGGAAAAAAAAGGGGAATGGCTGTGGTTTTACTGTCACCACAAGTTCTTACCAGAACATCATGTCTTTAGAAGAAACAAAAATGATTTCAAAAAAGACGAGTAGGTAACATATATGCCTCCCTCTCTATTGTTACCCAGTGAAGTATAGAACCAAGTTTGTGAACTACCAAAATTCAAATATAATAGTAAAGCATGAAGAATTCAAGGATATGGGGTCACATACAATTGGACAAAAAGAAGTATATTTTGGGAGATCCAAATTGGAAAGGAAATTTGTTGCAACATAATCTTAATGTTAAGCATATTGAAAAGAATTTTTTTGATAATGTTTTTAACACACTTATGGATGCTCAAGGAAAAATAAAATATAATTAGAAGGCTACAAAATACATGGAAATTTGGTGTAATCAAAAATATTTGGAGTTAAAGCCTCAACCGAATGGAAAATTATTAAAAACCAAGGCTACTTACAGTCTAACTTCCTAAGAAGATAAAGCAGTTTGTCGATGGTTATATGAATTGAGAATACGTAATGGTTATGCTTCAAACATAGAAAGGTGTGTCGACCCTAACACTGGGAAGTTGCATGGAATGAAAAATCAGGATTGCCATGTTTTCATGGAACGATTGCTTACAATCACGTTTATTTCACTACCCAAACATGTGCTTGATCCACTAACTAAATTTAGTCAATTTTTTAGGGATATTTGTGCATCAACTTTATGAGTGGAAGACATCATTAAGTTGGACTAAAATATTCCAATCATTCTCTGTAAGTTAAAATAAGTATTTTCGCCTGGTTTTTTCGACTCTATGGAACATCTACATGTG